TACGCTGTCCCAAACCCAACTGGTTGAGATACCATTTGACAACAGATAGGCCCTCATCATGGGAAATGGAGGAAACCTTCATATCTAAAGTTATCATCAAGGTTTCATGTGGTAAAGGTATATTCTCTAAATTAGAAGTCAGTCATAAGTGGAGTACCCTTTCATATGATGGCAGAGAAAATGTGTTTGTATGATCTTATTTATATAAATGTTAAGATTTTTGTACACATGCTAGAAATTATGGGCCCACCTAAAGGATCTTGCAATTTCTCATGAACTTTTGGCAAAGCATAAAATATTGGAATGATCGGGTTTTGTACTTTAATGAATTCCTGCTTTTCAGTGGTTCTCCATTCTAGCTAGATCAATAATAGAAAAGATCCTTTTTAAAAAATCATACAGTATATCATTGTTCTCTCTTTCTGTACCAATTTGTATTGAAGAGAATGTGTATACTTATTTTTACATATTGAATTTTATGCATTATCATTACATTGCCTCCCTTATCTGAGGACTTCAAAAACAGATCTTTCTGTTCGCTAAGGGATAACAGGGCTTCCTGGTGCCTACTGCTCAAATTGCTATGTTCAAATTCCTCTGCTACTTACTGAACAAAAAAATGTTATGATTGTATGCCAAAGAGGGAAATATATTTGACTTATTTCTTGAGGTTTTATACCTTGGTAACACCACCTAAAGAGGAAATATTTGTTATTAATACAGCACATGTAGTATCTAGAGTGTCATATTTTTACAAAACTCCTGTGATACTCTCCTGCCATAAGTCCATTAAGTCTCTGACCTGCCATAAGTCCATTATGTCTCTAAGAAATATATATTATTTACAGTATGTGTTAAAGTAGTTGTAAACCCTTACATATACCCAGTGAAGTTACTGGCCTCAGGTTATACACAGAGATGAGACAAATCCTCTTACATAAGTTGTACCTGTTTATCTGCAGTCTTCTCTCCTCTACAACCATCCAAAGTCCAGAATTTATATAGTTTGTTTGAGCGTTTAGAAAGCAGGGGGAAAGTGGGGAGCTAAATTTATAGTGTGCAGAGCTCAATGAGTGCTGATTGGAGGAAAGGGACACACCCTGCTTCACACAGTACTTAGCAACAGAGCTGAGGCTGTCACAGCAACTGTGTGCTGGAGTCCCCTCCCTATCACCTTTTTTCTCTTGGTGTCAGGAAAAATTGTAAGAAGTGATTCAAGCTGATAGCAGATGAATGGGACAGGAGACAGAAATAACACTTAGTGCTCTGGACTGAGACAAGTACATACTATAGATGGATATGCTTTGTTCATTTTCATGTCAGAGGTTTACAACCATGTTAACCAATCTGAAATATAATGATCAAAATGTAAGCCCCTCTGTTTAGAGTGCATAGCCTTTAAAACTAACTTTCTCACAAAAAAGTATTGGTCCGTGATTATAGGAAATTATCCATGTTATTCATAGGAAGAATGTTAAAACTTTTTGTATAAACCTTTTTTCATATTGATACCGAAGGGCAGACGAGAGGTTGATAACCTGTAGATTATCCACTAAATTCTCTTTGTTGTAGTTACAAACTTATGTATCCTCGTTTGAATTGGGCTTTGATCAAATATGTAGCTTGCCAGGGCTGTAGACATTTTAAAGATTGTTCTGTGATGTTTGAGTGACTCCTAAAAAAGATGTGTTATCAGATATGTATGAACTTGGGGTAAATTTGTGTTTCTTCCATTTGTCCGGCTGGGTATTGGCATTGCTTGAACACATTTGGACGGGATATCTTGTGCACTGGTCTGCCTAGAAGAGCGGAGTGGAACTCCCCTCCCTATCATCGCTCCCTCACCCTTTTTCCTCCCTCCCATTCCCCCCCCCAATTGTTTTTCTTTTTTTTTTTCTTTCTTTCTCGAGGCACCCTTACATTTTAAACTTCTGGGCCCCCCGAAATGGGACTAGGGACTCTTACTATAATGGAGTTTTTTTTGTATGGAACTGTCTTCTGTTATTTTATGACTCTTCATGCACATCTTCGCTTTTAAGCGACATGACCCTTACCTTGGAGACCCAGCATACTAATTACATGTACTGTGGGAATGTCAAATATTGTTGTTTATGCTGTTTATATTGTTTTTTCTTTCTCCACCTTTTGTAGTATTTTTCATTTTTGTATCTACTCATTTCTGTTTTTTGTAATATCTTGTAAAAACCAATAAAGACGGAATGCAAAAAAATAAATTTGTGTTTCTTCCAAAGATGGGGATGGCCACATGGGTTAAGAAACAAATCCAGCGTACTTTGCTATGATAATGGGAATCCTTCTTTCATGTTTTATGTCTCGTTCTGACTCTTTGCTCGCACTCCTTTACCATACCTTTACTTCCTGTTCATTGTTCACTTGTATTTTTTTTGAAAACTTCATTAAATCCTATGTGAAGTAAGAAGCACATCTAAACTGTGTTTACATTGTGTCCTTTCACCTAAAACACTCTATTTGCGTTCCTTCCTTGGGTTCTCGTTTGTGTGCCTTGTTGTCCTTTGGCCTCTAGTATTATATTTACCTTGCTTAAAGTGTTTTTTAATGGTATTTTTACATCTACATTTACATTTTACCTGATACCTGAGAAGAAGTAATAACTGTCAGAAGTTGAACTCTCTGGGGCTGATTTACTAAATGCAAATAGGTTGTTCACTTTTGGAATTTTCCCCTGAACTTAGTGAATATGGTAACATTTTATTTTGCAAAGGATACCCAATCATATTTGAGGATAAAAAAAAAAGAACGATTTGCCAGCACATTTTTGGATGATGAAAATCAGCCAAGCTTCACCTCATTCAACAAGCTCTAAGGATAATTCCCTTGCAAAGTGAACCATCTATTTGCCTTTAGTAAATCAACCTTTCTGTATCTGACTCGTTCTATGTCAGACTATTTGTTTGAAGTGCTTTAAAATCTTTTAGTTTTTATATCCTTGAGTCTTAGGTTGTAAACCCTTACATATACCTAATGTAGTGACTGGCCCAGGGGCGGGCTGACAACTCATGGGGCCCCTGGGCAATAGGGGATCATGGGGCCCCTGTGTCCTTGCCCAAACTCAAAAAGCCTATGAAAAGGGTACCAGGGGCATCTCATGGGGCCCCCAACTGACCCCAGGCCCTCGGGCAAAGCCTAAGTTTCCAAATGCTCAGTCCGCCCCTGGACGGGCCTCAGGTGACACACAGAGATGAAAAAATCCTCCTACATAGGTTAGACCTGTTTATTTGCAGTCTTCTCTGTTCTACATCTGTTCAGAGTGCAGAACTTATAAAGCTTGTCCAAGGGTTTAGATAAAAAGGGGCAGTGAGCTGAAGTTACACTCTGCAGAGCTCAGGGGATGCCCAAACTCTGATTTGTATCTTAGTGCAGACATCTGTGAAAATCACAAAAGCAGGAAATGACAATTCCTGGGGGGCATTCTGTACACCATCTATGTAAAGAGCATCTCCAGATAGCCAAGTTGCATTGCATTTTACAGAAAATCACAGTGCTGCAGATTGAAAAAGAAAGGTACACCATATTATTTTTTTTTATTTGCTATTTTTTTCCCGCTAAAGTTGAGTTACCCTTTAAGCTTGGATGAAATTTCTGCTACAGGTATGCCATCCTAATCCAATTCCTGAGAGTTAGAGGTATCATTGTCATCCATCACCTCCTATCCAGGTAAAATATCTGTTTGAAAGCTCAAAGGGGCATGGTTGTGACCTCTGCTCTCTATGGCCTTGGTAAGGCCAGAAATTCTGGCCATGAAAGCTGACATTGTGATGACCACTGTAGTGCTGCCTACTACAGAAAATTCCAGCTTCCACAGAGATCTGCCAGGTATGGCACATGCATACTTGCATGGAACCAAGCTGTTGTTCCTTTTGGGATAAAGGTTTTACATAAATAAATAAAAGCTGGTCATTGTAAGCACCCCTGTCAGTAGTAAATGACTGTCTCAACCCGTAAGTGCTACATCTACAGGACAGCTTATTCTGTTGAAAAATAACAGACTTACTGGCTGGTACACCAGGTGAAAATGAAGGAAAGAAAGACTAAAAAAGAAAACTAATCCGACCATCACATCTAAGAATTGGTAAATATGCAATATAATCAATGTTTGCTTTTTGGTTTAATAGTGCTTTAAAGTGATCCTCCACATTACAAAGTTACATAGTTTCATAGTTAGTCTGGCTGAAAAAAAGACAAAAGTGCAACCAGTTCAACCATTACAAAAAAAAAGTTATAATTCTACACCCACAGTTGATTCAGAGGAAGGCACAAAAACCCCCAGCAAAGCATGATCCAATTTGCTCCTGCTGGGAAAAAAGTTCCTTCCTGATCCCCCGAGAGGCAATCGGATATTCCCTGGATCAACTTTACCTATAAATATTAGTATCCAGTTATATTCTGTGTATCTAAGAAAGAATCCAGGACTTTTTTAAAGCATCCACTGAGCTGTTCAGAACCAACTCTTGAGGGAGTCTATTCCACATTCTCACAGCTCTTACTGTGAAGAAACCTTTCCGTGTTTGGAGATTACATTTCTTTTCCACCAGACATAGTGTCCCCTTGTCCTCTGAGTTCCTCTAATCTTTCCTCATAGCTGAGCTCCTCCATGCCTCTTATCAGTTTGGTTGCCCTTCTCTGTACTTTCTACAGTTCCCCAATGTTCTTTTTGTGAATTGGTGCCCAAAACTGAACTGCATATTCCAGATGAGGTATTACTAATGATTTGTACCGGGGTGATATGATATCTCTCTCTGGAGTCTATACCTGTTTTAATATAAGAGAGGATTTTGCTCGCTTTAGAACCCGCAGCTTGGCATTGCATGCCATTATTAAGCTTCTGATTAGAGATGAGCGAATTATTCAAAAATTCGATTCGGCTGATTCGCCGAATTTGTGGAATAAATTCGATTCGATGCGAATTTATTCGCTGCAAATTTAACTTATAAAAAGGGTTTCTAGGCTTCAGAGAGCCTTTATATTAGTGCAGAACACTGTACCTTTAATTTAAATGCCCTTGGAGTCTGCTGGGGAAGAGAAATAATACTGTCAGTCAGTATGACATGCAGATGAGTGCCGTCGATCTTAGAATCACCGCACACTTCACTCATTTGGGCAGTAGAAGAAAGTAGGATGAGGATGAGAAGAAGAAGAAGAAGAAGTAGGATGAGGATGAAGAAGAAGAAGAAGAAGAAGAAGTAGGATGAGGATGAAGAAGAAGAAGAAGTAGGATGAGGATGAAGAAGAAGAAGGAAGAAGAAGAAAAAGTAGGATGCGGATGAAGAAAGAAGAAGTAGGATGAGGATGAGATGAAGAAGAAGAGAGTTGAGATGAAGAAGAAGAAGAAGAAGAAGAAGAGAGTGAGGAGATGAAGAAGAAGAAGAAGAGGATGGGGAGAGAAGAAGAAGAAGAAGAGGATGAGGAAGAAGAAGAAGAAGAAGTAGGAAGAAGAAAAGAAGAAGAAGAAGAAGAAGAAGAAGAAGAAGAAGAAGAAGAAGAAGAAGAAGAAGAAGAAGAAGAGAAGAAGAGAAGAAGTAGGATGAGGAGGAGAAGAAGAAGAAGAAGAAGGATGAGGATGAAGGAAGAAGAAGAAGAAGGGAGAAGAAGAAGAAGAAGAAGAAGAGGAAGAAGAAGAGAAGAAGAAGAGGATGAGATGAGAGAAGAAGAAGAAGAAGAGAAGAAGGATGAGGATGAGGAGAGAGAAGAAGAAGAAAGAAGAAGAAGGAGGAAGAAGAGAAGAAGAAGAAGAAGAAGAAGAAGAAGAGATGGGGGAAGAGAGTGAAGAAGAGAAGAGGATGAAGAAGAAGAAGAAGAAGAAGAATGATGAGATGAAGAAGAAGAAGAAGAAGGATGAGGATGAGGAGAAGAGAAAGAAGAAGAAGAAGAAGTGAGAAGAGAGAGGTGAGAGGAGAAGAAGAAGAAGGAGAGGATGAGAAGAAGGAAGAGAGAGAGAAGAAGAGAAGGAGAGGATGAAGAAGAAGAAGATGAGAGAGAGAAGGGAGGAAGAAGAAGAAGAAAGGGAAGAAGAGGAAGAAGAAGAAGAAGAAGAAGAAGAAGAAGAAGAAGAAGAAGAAGAAGAAGGGGGATGAGGATGAAGAAGAAGAGGGGAGAAGGAGAGGGAGAGAGAAGAAAGGGGGAGGAGAAGAAGAAGAAGAAGAGGAGAGAAGAAGAAGAAAGAAGAGGAGAGAGGAAGAGGGGAAGTGTAGGATGGGAGAGAAGAGAAGAAAGGAGGAAGAAGAAGAAGAGGAGAGGAAGAGGAGAGAGGGGAAGAAGAAGAAGTGAGGATAAGAAGAAGAGAGAAGAAGAAGGAGAAGAGAGAGGGAAGAAGAAGAAGAAGAAGAAGAGGAAAGAAGGAGGAGGATGAGAAGAAGAAGAAAATAGGATGAGGAAGGGGGAGGAAAGAAGAGATGGAGGATGAGATGAAGAGAAGAAGAAGAAGAAGAAGAAGAGAGAGAAGGAGAGGAGGAAGGGGGGGAGAGGGAAGGGAGGAGAAGAGGAATGAGGAGAAGAAGAAGAAGAAGAAGAAGGAATGAGGATGAGGAAGAAGAAGAGGAAGAGAGATGAGAGAAGAAGAAGGAAGAAGAAGAGGAAGAAGAAGAAGGAGAAGAAGAAGAGAAGAGAGGAAGAAGAGAGAAGAAGAGAAGAAGGAAGAGGGAGAGAGAAGAAGAAGAAGAAGAGGGAAGAAGAAGAGGAAGAGGAAGAAGAGAAGAAGAAGAAGGAGGAGGAAGAAGAAGAAGAAGAAGGGGAAGAAGAAGAAGAAGAAGAGAGGAGAGAAGAAGGAGGAGAGAGAAGAGAAGAAGAAAGAGAAGAATGAAGGATGAAGAAGAAGAAGAAGAGAGGGATGAGGAGGAGAAGAAGAAGAAGAAGGATGAGGAGAGGAGAAGAAGGGGGAAGGAAGAAGGAGGGGGATGAGAGGAAGAAGAAGAAGTAGGATGAGGATGAAGAAGAAAGAAGAAGAGGGAGGAGGAAGAGAATGAAGAAGGGAGGGGAAGAAGAAGAGGAAGAAGAGGAAGAGAGAAGAAGAAGAAGAAGTAGGAGGAGGAGAGAAGAAGAGAGAGAGGATGAGGAAGAAGAAGAGGAGAAGATGAGGAGAGAGAGAGGAAGAGGGGGGGAGGAAGAGAAGAAGAAGAAGAAGAAGGATGAGGAAGAAGAGAAGAAGAAGAGGAAGAGGAGAAGAGAGAAGAAGAAGAAGAAGAAGAAGAGAGAAGAAGAAGGGGAGAAGAGAGAGAGAAGAGGAGAGGAGGAGGATGAGAAGAAGAAGAGAGAAGAAGAGGGATGAGGAGAAGAAGAAGAAGAAGAAGAAAGGAGGAGGAAGGGGAAGAAGAAGGAGGAGGATGAGAGAAGAAGAAGAAGAAGAGGAAGAAGAAGGAAGGGAGAGAGAAGGAAGAAGGGGGAAGAAGAGGGGAGGATGAGAGAAGAGGGGAGAGAGGGGAAGAAGAAGAAGAAGAAGAAGAAGAGGGTGAGGATGAAGAGAAGAAGAAGAAGAAGAAGGTGGGGGAGAGGAGAAGAAGAAGGAAGAGGAGAGGAAGAAGAAGAAGAAGAAGGATGAGGAGGAGGAGAGGAAGGAAGAAGGAGGAGAAGAAGAAGAAGAAGAAGGGAGAGGAGAAGAAGAAGAAGAAGAAGGGAGGAAGAGGGGAAGAAGAAGAAGAAGAAGGAGAGGAAGAAGGGAGATGGGAAGAAGAAGAAGAGGGAGAAGAGAGAAGAGAAAGAAGAAAGAAGGAAGAAGATAGGATGAGGATGAAGAAGAAGAGAGGGGAAGAGGAGAGGGGGGAGAAGGGGGAGAAGAAGGAAGAAGAAGAAGAGGAGAAGATGAGGGAAGAAGAAGAAGAAGAATGAGGATGAGGAGGAAGAAGGGAAGAAGAAGAAGAAGAGAGAGGGAAGGGGGAAGAGGAGAAGAAGAGAGAAGAGAAGAAAGGATGAGGAGAAGAAGAAGAAGAGGAGAAGAAGAAGAAGAGAAGGGAAGAAGAAGAAGAAGATGAGGAAGAGAGGAGGAAGAAGAAGAAGAGGATGAGGGAGAAGAAGAGAAGAGAAGAAGAAGATAGAGAGAGGAGAAGAGTGAAGAAGAGAAGGAAGGAGAAGAAGAAGAAGAAGAAGAAGAGGAGAGGAAGAGAAGAAGAAGAGAAGAGAAGGAAGGAGGAAGAAGAGAAGGGGAAGAAGAAGAGGGGAAGAAGAGGAGAAGAAAAGAAGAGGAAGAGGATGAGGATGAGGAGGAAGAAGAAGAGTAGAAGGAGGATGAGAGGAGGAGATGAAGAAGAGGGAGAAGAAGAAAGAAGAAGGGTGGGAAGAAGAAGAAGAGAAGGAGAGGAAGAAGAAGAAAGAAGAGGAGGGAGGATGAAGAAGAGGGGAGAAGAAGGAAAGAGGGAAGAAGAAGAAGGGAGGAAGAAGAAAGGATGAGAAGGAAGAAGAGTGAGAAGAAGAAGAAGAAGGGAGAGGAGAAGAAGGGAAGAGAGGAAGAAGAGGAAGAAGGAGAGAAGAAAAAGAGGAGGAGAGGGGAAGAAGAAGGAGAAGAAGAAGAGAAGAGGAGAGGAGAAGAGAAGAAGAAGAAGAAGTAGGAGGGAGATGAAGAAGAAAGAAGAAGGAAAGAAGTGAGGAGAGAAGAAGAAGAAGAAGAGAAGAAGAGAAGAAGAGAGGGAGAGGAAGAAGAAGAAGGAGAGAGAAGGAAAGAAGAAGAAGAGAAGAAGAAGAGGGCTTGAGGATGAAGGAAAGAGAGGGGAAGGAAGAAGGAGGAGAGGGAAGGAAGAAGAAGAAGTAGGATGAGGAAGAGGAAGGGAAGAAGAAGAAGAAGAAGAAGAAGTTTAGGATGAGAAGAGAGAGGAGGAAGAAGAAGAAGAAGAGGATGAGGAAGAAGAAGAAGAAGAAGAAGAGAAGAGAAGGAGGAGAAGAAGATGAGAAGAGAAGGAAGAGGAGAAGAGGTGAGGGAAGAAGAAGGAAAGATGAGAAGAAGAGAAGGGGGGGAGGAGAGAGAAAGAAGAAGAAGAAGAAGAGAGAAGGAGGAGAGGATGGAAGAAGAAGAAGAGAGAGGGGGATGAAGGGAGTGAGAAGAAGAGAAGAAGAGGAGGGAGAAGAGGAAGAAGAGAAGAATAGGATGAGGGGGGAAGAAGAAGAAGAAGAAGAAGGATGGAGAAGAATGAAGGGAAGAGAAGAAGAAGAAGGAGGAAGGAGGAAGAGGAGAAGAGAGAAGAAGGGTGAGGGAAGAAGAAGAGAAGAGAGGGGGGGGAAGAAGAAGGGGATGGAGGGGGAATAGGAAGAAGGAAGAAGAAGAAGAGGGAGAGATGGAAGGAAGATGAGGAAGAAGAAGGGGGGAGGAGAGAAGAAGAAGAGAGAAGAAGATGATAGGAAGAAGGGAGAAGAGGATGAGGGGGGAGAGAAGAAGAGGATGAGGGGGAAGGGGAAGAAGAAGGAGGGGGATGGAAAGAAGAAGAAGAGTAGAAGGAGAAGAGGAAGAAGGAGAGGAAGAAGAGGAGGTGAGGTGAAGAAGAAGGTGAGGGTGGAAGAGAAGAGGAAGAGAGGAGGAAGGGGAAGAAGAAGAGGGAGGAGGGAAGAAGAAGAAGAAGGAGAGGGGAGAAGAAGAAGAAGAGAAGAAGGAGAGGAGGAAGAAGAGGAGAGGAAGAAGAAGAAGAAGAGAAGTAGGATGAGGATAGAGAGAAGAAGAAGAAGAGAAGTGGGATGGGAAGAGGAGAAGAAGGGAAGAAGAAGAGAAGAGAGAAGAAGGATGGAGAGAAGAGAAGGGAAGATAGGAGAGAAGAAGAAGGAGGAAGAAGAAGAAGAAGAAGAGAAGATGGGAAGAAGGAGGGATGAGGAAGAAGAAGAAGGGGAGGGGAGAAGGAAGAGGAGAGAGGGGAAGGAGTGAGGGAAGAAGAAGAAGAAGGAGAAGAAGAAGAAGGGAAGGAGAGAAGAAGAAGAAGAAGGAAGAGAGGGGAAGGGAAGAGGGAAGAAGAGGGAAGAAGGAAGAGGAGAAGAAGAAGAGGGGGAGAAGGGAAGAAGAGAAGAAGGAGGAAGAAGAAGAAGAAGAGGAAGGGAAGAGAAGGAGGATGAAGAAGAAGAAGAAGAAGAGGGGAAGGAGAAGAAGAAGAGAAGTTGAAGGGAGAAGGATGAAGAGGAGGAAGAGGAAGAGGAGGAAATGAGGAGAAGAAGAAGAAAGAAGAAGAAGATGAGGATGAGGGGGGGAAGAAGAAGAAGAGAGAAGAAGAAGAAGAGGATGGGGAAGAAGAAGAAGAAGAAGAAGAGGTGAAGGATGAGAAGGAGAAGAAGAAGGAAGAAGAAAGGAAGAGGGAAGTAGAAGAAGAAGAAGAAGAAGAAGGAAGAGGAAGAAGATGAGAAGAAGGAGGAGAGGAGAAGAAGAAGAAGAAGGGGAAGAAGAAGAAGAAGAAGAGAAGAAGGAAGAGGGAGAGGAAGAAGAGAAGAAGAAGAAGAGGGAAGAAGAAGGAGAGAGGGGGGAGGAAGAAGAAGAAGAAGGGATGAGGAGAAGAAGGGGAGAAGAAGAAGAGAGGATGAAGGAAGAAGAAGAAGGAGGGGATGAAGAAGAA